ATAGGAAAAAAGCCAAGGAATCAGTACAAAAAAGAAAAGAAGTAAAAATAAAGCAGCAGAACAACAAAACAAAGTATTGCACAAGGTGTTATCAAGATTAAAAGACAGAAACTCAAAAAAAATAAAAGATATAAAAAAGGAAAAGGAAACAGAAAGCGAAAACATAGAAGACATATAGAGGAACATAGTTAGAAATTTAATTAATAATAACAAGAGGCCTTATTAGAATGGCCTCAAAGGCTAGCCTGAATAGCTCTCTAGTAGTGAGCATTAACTCACTCTAGTATGGCAAGTCACCTTTGGGCACTAATACAGTAGCTGGGGAATATCAAACCAAAAATTAAGCTAATATTTATATAATCATGTATGCAATTCTCTTAATAAAGGATCTTGGCAAGGCTGCCAAAGAGTTAAAAAAAAAAAATACTATTAAGATATGTTCAATTTTTTTGTAATTACATAAAAATATATATACATATAAATATTGTCTCAAATTACTACTTTGTCTAATACGTATCAATTTTAGGCATATATAAGTATCGATTATTTTTAATTTTAAATAAATTTTTTAACATTCTTCTAAAAATATGTCTGCCAAATTCAATATTAAAAAGGCAACTGAACGAGAAATTGAAGACAGAATGGCCATGTTAAAAGAAAAAATATGGCTTAATCGGCAGCAAATCAAAGATTTAGATGACGAACTAAAGAAGTGTCGACTGAATAAATTTAATAAGAAGCAGGCACAGATTAAAGCCAAGTTAAATACAAGGCTTCTATATCTTGAAATTCAGAAGCAAAATACCAATACTCTTAAATAAGAATAGAAGTAATAAAAAGGGTGGATGGAAGGGTTTTTTTAAATAATTTTTGCATATATATTTTAGTTTGGCATATTGTTAGCTGCATTTGCAAATATATTTTTTTAAAATTAATGCATTTTATATATATATTTTTAAACCATTTTTTTTCTTAGATATTTTAAAGTATAATTATTTGAAAACTTATATATACTCTGCTGAATTAATAGCTTAAATAAAAATAGTATTAAATATTTTTTTACTGCTGAAATTTTAAATACTGCAAATAAATAAAATATATAAAATATTTTAAGATTAGTAGTGAGATGTTTTTGTGTTATATGTTTTAATAGTATAGATCAAAATTTGAATTTTTACTAAGTTTTATTAGGAGACTTTCAAATAATTAGCTGTTAATTTATATAGTTTCAAGTATCTTTTAAAAAAATAGAGCTACTAAAAATAAATAAAAAAGAATATATAGAAGGCTTTATTAATATTGTGGTACTCAATAATTAAAAATAAAAAAAGTGCTATTTTGTTTAGAGAAATTTATAAGGTAATAGGTAGCTCAATTTTGAAGTTATCAGTAATTTGATTATTTTTAATATTGCAGTTCTACAAACTCTAATTTGAAGTCTTACAAACCTTAATAAAGCTTCTTTTATTATTTATTTGTGATAATTTTTTTTTAAAAAGTACTTTAAACTGTATAAGTAATTTAAAATTAGATAAATTTAAACAGCTAGTGGATAATAAATATTATTCTAGAGCTATATTGATAAATTTTAAGTATTTAAGACCTTACAAGATAAATTAATTATTTCTTATATCATGTAAATTTAAATATAATGAGCCTGCTCTGCTTTTAATTTTTTAATTTAAAAATTTTATACATTTATTATCCTGAAAATATTAAAAAAAAATTTTATAATTTTTTTTAATTTTTAAAAAAATTTGCTCAAAAGTATTTATATTAATAATATAAAAATTTTTCTTGAAAATTTACAAAACTAGTTGTAAAAAACAACTAATTAATTTTATATAGTTTAAAGTTATAATATATCAATAAATTTTAGATAAAATTAAAATAAAAACTACTATTTAACTTCTAAATATTTGTTTATGAAAAAAAAAACCATTGCTACTCTAGTACCAGTAGCTGAAGTATTTCTATAAATTAAAAGATTAGCTTTTAAAAACAAAACTTCACCTTTAATTAATTTAATTAACATTTTTATTTGTGGAAGTACTAGCCAGCCTTCTTTCTAATTACCTACTGGTACTACTATTGACAAACCATCGTCATTTTGTCATAATGATAATCTATTGTTATATTATAATTTAAAGCCATTATAGAAAAAACTTTAAAAAGTTTTTTTACCTTATTAAATATATATTAAAATTAATGTTAATAAAATATATTTAAAAAAGCTAATTTAAAAATAATTAATTAAATACTTACTTTAGATGGATACTGAACTGCAATTCTTTTATTAAACCAATTAGAATAATTTTCTAGTATAATTTTCACTAGTACATCATCGGCTAATAGCTTAACTTTGTCTAGTAAAATATTTATACATCTATATAAAAATATATATATTAATTATGCTTCTTTAAAATAATAATTTAAATAAAAAATATATACTTATAGTGTTCTTTATTTTTTGAATTGTAATCTTCCGAATTATATACTGCTTTAGAATAGCTTCTATATATGCCAAATCATTCAGAGCCTTTCTTAAAATTATCTGACTTATGGTTTTCATATAATTTATTATTGGAATGTTCTATATAATATTTAATTACTGCTTCTTCTGATAAATTTAAAATATATTTTTGTTTCTGATTAAGAGAAACTATTCTTACAATAGTTGATTTATTATTATCAACTATGTGATAATTGCCTATTTGATAAGTTTAATTAGTTTTAATATTAAATTTTAATATTAATAATAGCTTATCTTGTATATATTTGAAATTTTCTAATCGAAATGGATTTAATTTATATAATTCTCTAAATTCATCTTTTAAAACTGCACTTGGTTTTTTAATAGTATCTATAATTATTCTAGTTGGTTCACCAAGTAAATATGCCATGTCTCTAAATATTCTTCCTTTTCCATTTCTAATTAATTTTTGTCATACTCTAGTCTGATTTCCAGAAGGTTTTTGAACCTCATTATTTCAATGTTCTTTAGCAATTTTGATATAAATTTCTAGAATGCCTTCTATTAAATCTTTCCAACCTATTGCATTACTTTCTGAATTTATAGAATTTTGAATCTTATTATTTTTTGCAAAATTATTTAAAAAAATTTTTAATTTTTCTAAAAAATCAATGCAAATAGATGAATTTAATAAATTAACCAGATATTCTCTAGAATCTGAAAAAATTATTAAAGGAATATCTATATTATTATTATTAAGCACCTCTTGATTCAAATTCTTGAATATTAGCTCTTTAATACAATTTTTAATTACTGTATTAAAAATACTAATATTTAATAACTTTTGATCAAAGAGGTCTATAATATCATTACATTTTTCTTCTTTTCATTCTTGTAGTTCAGCTATAGTACAATAATTAGAAACACTCTGAGATCACAAATTATCCCTAGAGTCTACTCTAATTTGTTTTTAAAAAAAGTTTAATTTTTATAAATAATTTAATTTTAATAGTTAAAAGCTACTTTAAATTAAATTTTTGATTCAACTTAGAGTAGCTTATATAAGTGAAAAGTATAGACTCAGATTAGTAAAAATATAGCTGTATACTATTTTATTAGTTAATATTATAAGTTTTTTTAAAAAAATAGAAAAGAAGCTATGCTTAGTATTCCAATAGGGTTGAAGCTTGAACTAACCTGACTAGAATCTGGTTTAAAACTAACTAGAGAATCTATATATAATATATAAATAAAAATAAATCAATATTATCTTTTAATTTACTACATACAGAGGAAAATCTTCTGCTAAATCATAGTAATATATGAAGTATATATACAAAGAGGTAGGTTAAATTTTTTTTTTTTTTTTTTTTTTAAGTTAAAGTCCCTATCTTGAGAGTTGTGATGTTTTTATTCAAGTATATTAGGAC